GGTCCGACTGACCAACTTCAAATTAAACAAGAAATTATCACATCCTCAAAATTGAACTCGCCCATCAGCTGAAAAGCGTGCTAGGCTGAAAAAGGATAGCAATTCATTATGATGATTGACTCTGGTATTATTTTGTCATTAAAAGAAAGAAAGTTATGCATCGATGGTTATCCAGTCACCTTGGTGTTGGTTGTAGGGAACCAAACTTACGAGTGAATGACTTCAAAGCCGCAGAAACAACAACTTTCCGACCACAATAACCTTTGATAGTTTGTTTTTGATTAATTCAAATGAACGTTTCTCAATCCTCCACCATTTCTTTTGATCACGTTCCAGATCCGCTTCGGCCTTCCTAGGAGGTTGGGTTCGAACACTGGATCGCCAGGGCGACTGACTTCACTTGATCAATGGTGAACAATTCGTGAATACTTTCTTTCCTGAGTTCCGGCTCCGGCACAGGGGCGGGTATGCATGAGCAACCACGGGAATAACGAGTTTATAATTCGAGGGATTGTATGTCAAGTTTAGTATGACACGACACCAATTGTTCATTTGATACTTGTGAATGGGGTAGGGGTGATGGGTGGGGGAGTTGTGTCCAACGAATAAATGTTATTTTATCTGTTGTTGATATTTGGTGTGAATGACAAATCAATTGATCAGCTCAGGAGAAAAAGTTAAACATTATATTCTACGAAGGAATCTATGGCTGCAATGTGATTTATTGATATGAGCTGACTATCCTTCGAACTTCACCTTCACGCACAATACTCAGTTCTTCTCAGTCAATCATACACTCGAAGCATTAGACTCGAGTTTCGCTCTTATTAGAGCTCATCAGTAGTGCGTATCCATCGTCCCGTCCAGGATTTGAACTCCGGACCCATCGTATAGAAGGCGTGTATGTTACCACTGTATTCGAAGGATCGTTAGTCAAATCAATAAATATCAATTCCCCCCCCACGAATACTACTCACAAGTGACTGTGAGTCAAATGCAAATTACAACGTAATTGCAAAAAAAAGGATGATCACCATCAAAATGGTTTGGGGGGGTTCAATCGCTATTCGTATGCAGAAAGGGGTTATATTTCACTCACTACGGGGGTATCAGAGGAGACATGATTATGTATATCGAATCGTGTAAAACCCAAGCCATCCGTGTCACCTGAAACTAAAATTAACACCCAACATTCATCTTACAGTACATCCATTCAAACTGGTGGTCTCAAAATGCTGGTGTCAGTCATTCGTACTCAAAGTGTGTTCGGTCTGGAACACTCTCCCACCCCATGTGATCTGTGCGTCAAGCGTTGAATCTTTCGAATTGAGACTTGATGAAGCATTAACATCGCTTACGTTCCAACACAAATGAAGCTGCGGGCAGTAGTAGATTAGGCTCCGTTATCATGTGCCGTTTTTACGCAAGGAATTGTATGTATCGCTGTCTTTTAACCACAACACGAACCTATGGGACGGGGAAAGCACGAGTCTGTCAGTTATTTCCCTCAGTAAAACTTTGAATTTTGAAGGTGAAAGTTGTTCGGAACAGACTCAAAATCTCTATCGTGCACTTATGAAACTGTCTGTTCTTCGTCTAGCTATCATTCTGGTGGTATATGTTCAGAGGAGACGAGTAGATAGCTATTTCCCGATTGTCAGGTCACGCAAGTAGTTGCATATCCAAGTTTGTTTTCAACAGTTTGTAATTGATAGGAGTTCTGAGATACAGAAACAGAGTCAAGGTTCAACTTGTTGTTTGGCAGATTTGAAGTTTTTATGTCGAGATTGTGAAAAGTTCAGTAGCCTCGGTCGGATTTGAACAACTGACCTTGCCTTAGAAGCTCATTCGGTGGAGTCCGATGAATTCTGAGGAAAACCTATCAGGGCAGTCAGTTTACATGCCAACTGGTGAATGCCATATACCTCTGTAAGTTGGGTGAGTAGTAATTCGAATATGAAAAGATCAGTGCTCTGTCAGTGTGGCCTCGTAGCTGGTAGAGTGTGCGCTGTACAAAAGCGTAGGCGGCGTTCATGTGTGGGTTCGAATCCCACCGAGGCTACTGAACTTTTCACAATCTCGACATGCAAACCTCAAATCTGCTAAACAACAATTTGAACTTCAGTGTTTATTTCTTTGTTTGTTCAGTACCCTTATATGGTCAATTTAAATTCTCATTATTGGAGTTTAATGTGACATTTGTCAAGAAATAAAGCGTCGTTCTCAATTAAAGCTGTCATTTGCCTCTTTTTGCCTTAGGTACTACGAAGGCGGCATCTCTTCTGTTTATCTCTGGGATATGGATATGGGGTTCGCTGGCGTTATTCTCATAAAGAAAGCTGGTGATGCGAAACTAGCTAGTGGCTGTTGGGATTCCATTCACGTGATTGATGTTATGGTAAGTGATTGTGCTGCACCCCCCCCCCATCCCACCCGCATTCGTTTGTGGATTACGCGTTCTACACAGTTGCGGTTCCTGGAATTAGTCCGAGGTTCAAGCCCCTCCACCGCCACTCAACTTTAGTGGTAGGCAGCTTTCCTGTCGTCCCCGGTCCTATACCATGCCTAACTTAGCAGTGGGATTTTATGTGTGGTTCGTCCCACTCCAAGTCCCGTGGGGCTTAGGTTACCGGTTACCATCACTGGACAGCAGGTCTTTGTGACTATGGGGTTCCACCCCGTCTGCTGTCCATCACACACCGGTGTGTAATAAAAAAGAATTTATCAACAAGTCGTCAACACTGATCGGTTTGGTTGAGTTTTGTCACGAGTGAGACCCGTACCACTTATCCTCTTACACCCGGCATTCAAATTATTTTTTCCATTAACTCATTATTTCTCGACTGGTTGAGTTAGCATGGGTCAAGAAAAGCCAAGGAACTACATCACGACGAGACTGTACCTTGACGTGGTGTGATGCCTTGTGCACCTCTATGACCCAACAAGCTACACAGGATGGCTTTTATCGAGCCAAAGATCTAATCATGCCTGGAAGGTAAATGGATAGAGGTCAGACGAAGTCCAGTCTCCTGGTCCTCCAGGTTGGGGGTTTGACTTGAGTCGGTGTCTCAGTCGATAAAACGTGTTGGAGGAATAATTGATCCAAGCTAATGGG